GGGGCAACACTGAGGGTTGCGATCCGTTGCCGGACACGGAAAAAAGACAAAAGACAAAAAAAAAAAATAAATAAATAAATAAATGGCTAAACCATAATATCCACAAGTATCTGCATGTAGGAGGCGTTTTTGACTGGGTAGGATAAGTACTATTATCCCCACTTTACTAATGAGAAGACAGAGGCTTAGAGAGAGTGGAAAACTTGTCCTAGGTGACATATGTGGTATGGGAGGAATCTAAGTAAAAATCAGATCTGCCTTATCCCAAATACTGTGTTCTTTCTACCACACTAGTTATTTATGAGTGCTTTAGTGAGGATATCTCACACGGGTCTAAAAGAAATAAACAATGAAACGATAGAAATTTAACAAAGTCTACCCCTTCTTATTACCATTACTCTGAATTTTAGAGAATATGTGTTTATGGCAGAAATGTTTGTCTTTTCACTATGGCCAAACACAATGGCTATAAGTCTAATGATAGAGTTGGGCAAATGTGAGTTTGCACAGAGCCTGATAAGAAATACCATTTTTCACTGAAAGCTCATGTAGACTAAGAGACAATGACTCCTGACACCCTCATCTGACTCAGGTCAATCAAAATTCACCCAAATCCACATCAGCATCAGACTAGGACTGAATCTTCTGCCTCTATGCTGAATGTTCTTTCCTTGGTATTCTGAGCCATTTAGTTATCACTGCTAGGATAAGGAAAGTCCGCTAAGTCAGCTGATCTCAAACAGCATGGGCAAGAGAAAAACTCAGAAATACAGAGGGATAATCTCAGCTCAGGCTTCCTAGCTATCAAAGTGCTGAGAAAGATATGCAACAAACAGGTCACCCCCAAAGTGCTGTCATATCACTGCTAAGGGCAACTGTCTGAGTGACGGTCTGGAAAAGCCTGTGTAACCTCAAGATAGAGCTCCAAAGAGTGCATGACCAGCAGGTGAGAGGCGTTGGTCACAAACAGAAAGCCAGGCTCTCACACACAGGGAAACATGACAGTGTGTATTAGGAAAAGCATCGGGCTAGGAGGCAAGAAACCTAATACCCAATTCCTCTTTGCAGAAGACAAGGTAGACCCAGAAAGGGGTCTAAGAATCAGTGTCGATGTGTGGCATAGGGGCCACAGACTCATTTGGGTGGTTCCTGGAGCAAACAGCAGTAGGAAATACCAATAGAAGGGTGGAAACTATGTCACGGGGTTCATCAAGGTCCAGGCCAGAGAGGTTAAGTTTTATCAACAGTTAGTTCAACGGACATATGAGCAGCTCTAAACTGAAGACAAAAGTAAAGGAATTAGAAGTTAGATAGAGACTATAATGCAGCCAGGAAGGAAAGTAAGGACTGAATTAAAGCCTGGGGTAAATGACAAGTCACTTATTTTTCAGATTACTGGAGGCTCATTTATATTGATTATTGAATATGTGAGTTATTATTCTGCCTTTGCAATTTATGCTCCAAAATTCTAATTCAGAAAGGCATCACATTCTGATCATACCCTCCTCTCCTTCCAGTTTAGCTGCACAACCAACTTGACTACACTTGTTCTGGGACCTCACTGGGACCTTTAACAGCACTGCTCCACGCAACACCTTGCCCTCTCCACTCGGATTCCTGACAGAGAAGCCACATCTTCTCTGTCACTCCCTTGTTCACACACTCAACATCCTTGCTCATTTGCCCTTTCTTCTGCTCTGCTGTCAAGCTCCCATGTGTCCCAAGCTGGGCACACCTCACTACCTTCTTCTCACCTTAGCTAGGATCCAGAGGGGGAAACCATTCAAGGGGGAAGATTGTTATTGACAAAAATTCATAGTCAACAAATTTAAATGGGCACCTAGAAAAAAATCTGGTATGGGGCCAGACGTGTATGTTTTTAAAAGCTCTACATATAAGTCTCTCTATTTCTCTCTCTCTCTCTCTCTCTCTCTCTCTTTCTCTCTCTCTCATTTCTCTCTCTCTCTTTCTCTCTCTCTCATAACCAGAATCTAAGTTCCTAATTGAATTAACATTTTCATAATCTCTATCTAGAGATAAGCACATAAGGAAGACAAATTTATGAAAGAGAGGAAGAGGGTGACCTAAGCATCACTGGCACCCACAAGTATTGGGGGTCCTTGGGCAGCCAGCACACTGGTGGCTGTGGGAGGGCACACCAGCAAGAAGTAATGCCAGCTCAAGGTGGACTACTAGGTGGAAAATCTCCAGGAATTCAAGCAACAGGGCTATAGGATCATTGTGTCCCTTGGGGTAAACCACTCACCTAAGACCGAGTAGCATAGGAGCTACAAGGTGAAGACTCAAGGAAATATTGGTTGAAAGTGAGTAAGATTTGTGTATATTGGAATTTAACAAGCATTGATGACACCCAGCCTAGACTGGATCATTTGGGCAAAGCAGCCTAGGGAGAGCTTCCCCAGGATGGAGTGGAAGCGCCGCTCACCTGCTCTTGTTTCTTCTCCGGAGCAGCGGGAGTCAGTGCTAAGCTCATTACATCTTATCAATTGTTCCAGATGCAGTTCCATTACTTCCCAAAGATGGAAAGTCAGTATCAGAGGGGACCTTACAGCCCAGGTCTGGCTGACCCAGTGTATCTGCCCTCTTAATTACCATGCCATATTGCTTCTAACCACCCTGAAAGAAGTAAAAACCACATCCAAAGAGATGCAACAGCCCAAACCAGGCAGCACCCTTTCCTGAAAGGTGAAAAAAGCCATGACATTTCAAACACAAAGTGAGCTATAGCTCTAAGAGTTACATATACTCTTGTACTTGACTCTTCAGTTTGGGTTTTACAAAAGCCTGTGCCCTAAGCTCAGATGCCATCAGAAGTGTTTGTCTTCAATTTGTGTCAGAAATTGATGCACAGGAGAAAGTAGTGAGAATAGTAACAGCTCAGAGTTTGGGGACACTGAGCACGTGACAGGTGTTATGCTCCAGTTTATACATACTGCCTCATTTATTCCTCCTGCCTTGTGAGGTTGGCACTTTAGAATCCCCATTTCACAGATGGATATATGGAGAAAATGGATACATAAGGAGGTTAATAACTTGCCTTAAATCACAGAGCTAGTAAGTAAAAGAACAGAAATTCCAACGTGGGTAATTTGAACCCACAGCTTGTGATCTCATGTTTTCTTAAGAAGTGTGTGGGACTAATGCAAACAGGATGTTAAATGACATTTTTTTGGTGTTCAGCAGAGGTTCCAAATCTCTTCACGTCCTCTGCAGGACCTGCTGAACACTGTGCGACTGGTTCAGCAACCTTAGCCCATCCTCCAGCTCCAGGTTGTATATGAGACAGTGAAAAATTCACTGAGGCTTTGCAGTGGCAGGCAGTGATGATTTTTTTGGATTGAGTCATTTCCCTACTTTTTGAGTCACTTATCCATGGAAGAGGGGGTGATGCTGTCCTCCTCTATGTTAAAACCACTGAGGGGCTTCAAAAGAACCATTCCAGGAGCAAAACTCACAGTCCTTGGAGTTTGAAGCATGCAGAGACCAGTACTTCATTTACACCTGAGAAATCTAGGTGGGGGAGGCTTGGGCTTGACAAAGGGGTCTTTAGCAGCCTATTCCACAGTAGGAGATCCCCTAGGAACCTGTACAGGGACCCTCGGGAGAAAGAGTAAACACTGGGAATTCACCATCCACAGAGGGTCCCAGGCCATACGCCTTCCCCTGTCCTTGCCTGTCCTCCCTAATGCCTCTAACTTCAGATGACAGAAGCCCCACTGGAGGTGCCTAGTGGATGGGTGGGAATTTAACACCAAGCACCTATGGTTGAGAGGCCTGGGAAATGTACCAGGTAATAAGCTGACAGAGAAGGCACACAAAATAAGCATCTTAGTAACAATGGACCAAAAACCAGAGAGGTTCTTCCATGTCTCCTGCATTGTGCAAATCCTGAGGTTACAGTACTTCCCCAAGGGTAGGGAAGAGGCTGATTCCTCCCTGGCAAGAGTTGAATTTGAATTTCTCACCAGCTCTGGATAGTCTGGGTCAACCCAGCTAGAATTTGATTAAAAGAAAATAAATGATGTTTGTTGCATGTGAGTGTTGTGGAGCTCATGCTATGGGTCGTGTATGTGCACAGCTTCTCATCTACTGCCTGGCACTTATAAGAAGCTTAACAGATGCTAACTCCCTCTAGGACATTTCTTCTTAGTTATCGGGAAATTCTGCAATGGTCAAGTTTGTTGATCTTGGAAATGATGGAAGGAGGCCCTTGTTCAAAATAGTGGCCTTATTTTGTGAAGTAAATGTGTCCAAGTTCTTCGACCTCATTGCCTCTACTCTCTGCTTCTCCATTCATATAGTCAGACTTCTGCTCCCCCAAAACTGCTCCAGCTGCTGTCTTTTTATTCCTTAAAGACATTATAGAAATACCCATCTCTCTGCCCTTTCCTTGCATCCATCTGTCTTCCTGCCTGGAATATTTGCCCTTCTTCTTTCCATTCCCCCAAGTCCTACCCATACTCCAAGTAATCACCTCCTATCTTTATTCCTCTACAAAGAATTCCCAGGGCCTATCAATATACAATGCAAAATACAGTGCTTGCACTTAATAAAGTCCCCATTCATCCAGATATTCTTCATATTCAAATATTCATTCACTCACTTAACAAATTTTTTGTCTCTACTATAGTCCAAGCTCCATGAGAGTCAAGATATCTTTTGCCGAATTTGTTCACTACCATATTCATAGTGACTATGATAGTGGTTTATATTTAGTAGATGTCAATAAATATTTGTTGAATGAATGCATGAGAGAATGAATGGATGTTGGGGTTACATGTGGTGAACAAAAAAATAAGGTTCTTATTATTAATCATGATGTTGTCTTGTTAGTGCTAACAATAGCACATTGTTCTCCATGACTCACAAATGATCATATCCCCCAAGGTTCTGTTCTAGATAATCTTCTCTCTCTGCACCCACTCCTGTGGCAATGCCGTCAACTCCTGCAGCTTCAGGCGTCACCCCTGTGTAAATGAATGTGTCTGATGAAGTATTGATTTTTCTTCTTCCAGGGGAAAAGATAAAGAAAACATCATTTCGGTCTACATGAGCAGACCTAAACCAGAGATGTACATCCTCAGAGTAAGGGTATAATCCAGCCTTCAGATTACCTCCTATTCTCCCAAGACGCAGAGGGAAGAAAGGAGAAAATGTTTGGACAAAGAGGGGAGTTAAGACAGCACTTTCTCACCACTCCAGGGGGATTCCACTCAGGCTGGCAGAGGAGTTTCTACATGAGATTTTGGATGGGCAGGAAAGGAAGATTGTCCTGTTATCCACACCCATAAGATCCAATCAGAGGAGAAAATTCACTTCCATTAGCAGGTCCCAGCAGGTACAACAGCAGCAGCTCAGCCAGATATTCATACATATTAACTTAGTAAAACAATCCTGATATTATTCTGACTTACAGATAAAGAATCTGAAGCATGGAGACTCTCAGTAACGTCCTCAATGTTCACAGAGTGTATAAATAGCTGGGTTGGACCCAGGTGGAGCCAAAGCAAAAGTTTTAACCACTACATTGCATTGTCCTTATAAGTATGAAATGATACTTGCCTGGAAGGCAGATGCCCCCAGGCATGGCTTTATCCCAGACATACCCTAGGAAAACAACCATTAAAAGCATATCTATATTTCTGGGCCGGCCTGGTGGCGCACTGCTACAGTGCGCCGCTTGGGAGTGCTGCAGCGCTCCCGCCGAGGGTTCGGATCCCACATACAGACCGGTTCCC